GGTTCAAGGATATTAACAGCAATCAAAACAATGAAAAACTACCATCAGTTACATTAAAGACTATTCTAAATTTCTGATGAGAGAAAGGCAAAATAAAACAACTCTGAGATTTCATCTCATACCCCACAAAATGGCAGAGATGATAGATAAAGGGTAGAAAATGGGCCTGTGATTTCATTGGTATCTTTTGTTTTTCAGTCATATCCAACTCTATATTATCCCTTTTTTCTTGGCAAAGATACTAGAGTGGTTTGCCGTTTCCAGCTCATTTTACAGATGAGGAAACTGAAGCAAATAGGATTAAGTAACTTGGCCAGGGTCACACAGCTAGTAAGTTTCTGAGGCCACATTTGAATCCAGGTCTTCCTGACCCCAGGCTGGCACTCTATCCACTGCCCTTTTCACTGGGCTAGGGAACTCCTAGATAAGGACACTCCCTCTATTAATCTTAGAACTTAGAGTCTTAAAGAGGTATCTAGAGCGCTAAGCTTAAGTGATTGCCCAGGGTCTTGTAACCAGTTGGTGTCAAGGGCAGGATTTGAATCTAGTTTTTCTTTGTTTAGAGGCCAACTTTCTGTCCACTATGTAATATAGCCTCTCTAAGGCAAAGATGACAAAAGATAGAAAAGTCCACGTTGGAGGAGCAATAGGAAGATAGACACACTAATACATTATTGGTAGAGTTGTAAATTGGTTAAACTATTAAAAATAGTTTTAAATTATGCAAAAAAACATTTACTAAACTATCCATATCTTTTCATTACTGCTGGTTATTTATCCCAAGGATGTAAAAAGATAAAAATAAAATGTACCTAGATATTAATCAGTACTTTTTGTGGTAGTAAAACAATGGAAACAAAATGCATACTTATTGGTCGAAAAATGGATAAACAAATTATGAAAGATAAACAATAGACTATCATTGTCATGTGAAAAATGAATGAGAAATTTGAAAAAAATAAACCATAGAAACATGGATATGAAATCTCAGAGTTAAGGAAGTGTAACTAGGGAAACAGCATACCCATACACAAATAAAGAACACAAACAAAAACAAAATAGTAAAATGAACCCAAACACTGAAGAATTATAATAACCAATCTTGACCTAGGAAAAGAAATATGGAAACAACTACCTCCTTTGCAGTGGGAGTGGGGTGAATCACAGATATAGAATGTTGCATATATGATAGTCATAGAGGCATGGTCATCACCAGTTTTATCTAATTGATTTTCTTGGTTGCAAAAGTAGGTTCATTTTGGGGTGGGGGAAACAATGTCAGGGAATAGAATTGTGCTATGAAAACAAAAGGTGGCAAAAATTAATTAAATTTTTTTAATATCTAAACATTTCTTACATAATTCCAAATTGTTTTCTAAAATGGCTGGACCAATTCACAGATAGCCTGAATGTTTTCTACTTCTACTTGTATACTCTCTCCTCCTTGGGTTTTTGTGCTACATATCTATCATGCTTGAACTCTTAACTCCTTATAACCTAGCTTTAATCTTTGTAGTAGTGTCATCTATGTCCCTGCTACGTATGGGTAAATCTTAAACATGGTCTTCTTCTGTCTTTGGCTCTTTCTCCCTCTCCCTCCTCTACTATGTGTTCTTCTTGGCTGCTATAGTTTCAACTACCATTCTTATACAGATGACTATAATATCTATATATCCAGCACTAATGTCTCTCCTGTCCACTGGTCTCATATCTCCAAGTACCTGTTAGACATCTCTACCACGATTTCCCATATGCATCTCAAATTCAATATGTCCAAAACTGAGCTCATTGGTTTTTTTTTTTTTCACTAAACCTTCCCCACTTTCCTATTTCTGTTGAGGGCACCATATTCTTCTAGTAACCTAAATTCACAATGACCATCAGTTGCTAAATCTTTGGCATTCTATATCCACAAAACCTCTTGCATCCAATCCCTTCTCTCCAATTACATATCCTCTAATGTAGATAGGTACTCCTCACCTTTGGCCTGGATTGTTGAAACAGACTCCATATTGTTTTCCTAGCCTCTAACTTCTCCCTTCTCCAATCCTCTTCCACATAGTTGACAAAGTGTTATTGCTAAAGTGCTATGTCATTGCTCTGCTCAAGAAGCTTTAGTGACTTCTCATTGTCTCTGGGAGTAAAAACAAATTCCTTTGTTTGGTAATTAGTCTCTCAGTATTGGACTCCAACCTCACTCTCTAGGCTGATTACACAGGTTAGAAACTGGATCACTGGAAAGATAGTGCTGAAGGGGTAAATCCCTTTTGCCCCTTTTCCCTTTTGCCCCTTTTCAAAAGGAATTTGGCTTCTTTGTTTACCATTCCCAGAAAAACCTTAAAACTTTTAGATTCTCTCTTTGAAATCTTATTCAAATGCACTTTCCTTCCTGGCCCCAAAAAAGAAACTGGCTCCAGTTTATCTAACAGTCCGAGGAAGACCTTAAAGTTTTAGAAACTGCCTTATTTCCACTTGAAAGCAAACTTCCCCCTTTCAGCTCCCTTCATTATCTACTCTTATTGTTTATTACCTTCCAAATGGACCCAGCCAGCCCCACTTCCTCTGGCCACCCTTAATCCTAGCTAGGCGCCACGAGGTCCAGGTCCCAGGAGTTCTGTTCACCCCAGCTTACTAGCCACTCCCATCCAGATCTCCTTAGACCCCTCCTCCCATCACTTCAAACTGTTTGGCCACTCCTAAGTCCCTCCCACAGTCTTTCTGTACTTAAGATTCACCTTTGCCCCATTCAGATGCTGGGAATTTCTCATGCCTCTAGAGGCTGAGACTCTCACACCCGCTTGTCTTTACAGCATCTCCTGGCTTGGGATTCACCTGGCCTCCCCCATTCAAATGCTGAGCTGTTCTCAAGCCTAGAGGCTGAGACCCTCATGCCTGCTTGTCCTCACGAGCGAGAGTCACATGGCCTATCCACCCCAGCCCCAACTCAGATGCTGAGCTTTCTTCATGCCCAAAAGGCTGAGACTGCCTCATGACCTCTTGTCCTTACGAGCATCACCTGACCACCTTAGCCCCCATTTAGATCACTGATGTTTGGGTTCCTTGGGAGTCTGGCCTATATGCTCTATCTTTAACAAACTTTTTTCTCTGACTGGAAGAAGATTTGGGTTGAATTCTTTCAGGCATATCTGTGCCGTGATCTGGGGCTTTTTCCCAGCACCCCAAAACCTCCCGGGATCTTGGGGTGCCTCTGTGCAACTAGGAGCACCCCAAAACCCCTCACCCTCTTCAGTGCTACTCAACAGAAATAAGCAAAGTTAGGAAAAATTTAAAGAAATATTAGAAGATGGGATGAAGTACTTAGACATGAACAAAACAGAATAAAAAGAACAATGTACACAATTACAACTATAAAATGAAGAAGTAAAAAAAAAGTACTGAAGTATAAGGCTGCATATCTGATCAGTTAGAAACATTCTTGATGTTTTAACTGTTTTTAGGGATTGTACATTGTGGGAAATTCAGATGGTAACTCTTCAGGACCCCAGGATATTCTCTAAGACTATAAATGGCAGAACAGAAGCTGATAGCATTAGAAAAAGGAACTTTCTCACCAGAAATTCCATATATCAATGCAATCACAAATGAAGAAGAAAAAAATTGATTGACTGGGAGCTGAGGAGCTTATTTGATGTGTTTATTTTTCTGTTCCAGGCATCATTAAATGGAGAAGTTGGTTACCTTTTTGGTAAAATGAGCATAATAATACTGTTATTGTCCATCTTACAGGATTGTGAGGATAACACTTTATAAATTTTAAAGCACTCTACAGATGTTTTTTTATTTCTACTGCCACCACAATATTTCTACACAATAGAGCCATACTAAAAAGCAATTTCCAGGTTCCCATAGCATAGGCCCAGAGAACAAAAAGCATTATAATGCTAAGACTTAAGCTTACAGCTCATTCCAGAGTCTTGATCTCTCAGCAAATTAAAATGAGTATTTATTCTACTTTCATACACAATACTCCACTAAAACAGTAATTGCTGATAAAATGTTTTCTTGCCTGTGAAAAAAAGTAGCATCAGCTGTACCTCCTGGAATAGGGAAGTAAAAAAAAATCTCATTTTGTCTCTCCCTTTCTTTCCCTTTTCTCCTTAGAAATTCCACTGTCACTGTCACACTGGGACTCACTGCTATGCCATTAGTTTCAACCTGTCTTTATCTCACTGAGCTATTTGAAGATATGAAAAAGCATCAAGAGAGAGGAGAAAACCCCCAGAGTCCATAGTCTTCTAAAGTACAGCACATGAAATTACCACTGGCAACCCTAATCAACAACTACAATTAAGCTTAATTATAAATTACAAGTATCTAATTTAGGAAGACCTTTGCTTTATAAATTGTAGTTGTTACTAACTCAGCTACTTGAAATAATCCCAGGGCTGAAAAAATGCATTCTCCAAGTCATTAGGAGTGGCTGAATTTTCCTCTGGGGTATCTGGCAGAAAAGAATATAATTGGGAAGCTCTGCCTCGCCCTCCCTCAACATCCTCATATCACAAATAGAATTGTAGAGAAGAAGGAATTATCACTTGAAAGTCAGGACAGGTCTAATGATTCACAGCAGGGGTCCATTGGAGTCACTTGGAGTGCAATGGAAAGGCTTCCCTCACTCCCATATCCAAAGCCTCCCCCCCCCAAAAAAAACCTTAAAAATATTAACCTCTAAATTCCTAGCTTAGAATTTAGTTTATTTTACTCATTTACTCTCTCCCAAGGATCTATTTTGAAATGCAAATACTCCTGGGAGGGGCATCAGACTAATATTGGTGAGTCACATGTGAGTTTTCATACTAAGTAGTCTTAGGTTCTAGAAACTCAAAGGGAAAGGTAGATAGAAAGGAGAAAGGTCAGGAAAGAAGACACTTATTTTTTTTATTTTTAGGCAGTTGGGGTTAAGTAACTTGCCCAGGGTCACACAGCTAGTAAGTGTCAAGTGTTTGGTCTGAGGTCACATTTGAACTCAGGTCCTCCTGGCTCCAAGGCCAATGCTGTATCCACTGCGCCACCTAGCTGCCCCCCGAAAGAAGACAATTTTGCAGAAGGATGATTCCAGGGTTAAGATAAAAACTTGGGTTTCAGTTTTCTTTGCATGAAAGCTCCCATTTGTTTTCTGAACAGTTCTGCTTACTTTGCAGACAATTTTAAAAAGCACTTTGCTGCTTTACCATGAGGTGGATATGATACCTTTCCACTAGGAACTCTCACATTCACCCAGACAGTTTGTACCTGCCAACCTGGGAAGGAAGTGCTAAATAAGTGTCATATTTTCTATGGTTACCAGAAAATCAAAGACCTAAACTTCAGCTCTACCTCTCATTATATGGTTGTACCAAGAATATCTAGGGGTGTGTGGATTTGTGTAAACTACCAATTAGAACTACCAAGCCTCTACCCACTAGCTAGTCTCACCTCTTTTTGAATTTTCTGTATTTCAAAAATCAATCAACAAGAATTTATGAAATGCCTGTGTTGTGCTAGGCAGAGAAAGGGCAACTGCAGAAACAAAGGTATAAATGTTGTAGTTCCAGCCCTAAAGGAGCTTATATTCAATAGGAGAAACAGTACATAAATCTAAAATAAGTGTATGTAAAAGAAATACAAGGTGGTATTTTGAGGGAGACACTTGCCCTTTTGAAGGGGGCAGCATCTGAACTGAGATGTGAAACATCCTAGAGATTCCAAGAGCAAAAGGTAATGAGGGAGTGTATTTCAGTCATAGGGACAACCTATACAAAGTCACCATGGAGACAGGAGATAATTCCATGTGTGAGCAACAGCATAAAAAGGTCAGTTTGGTAGAATCAAAAGTTTGTAAAGGGGAGTAACATATCATAACTAGAAAGGTAGATTGGAATAAAGTTGTGACAGGCTATAAATTTCAATGAATGCTCTCATGTGACTTTGGCATAATGGAATTGGTTCCCTGAAGAAGCAGACCCACATGCCAGAAGGATGCATGTAATGTTTTTCCTTATCATAGAATCAATAAGTTTATTCAGCATAAAATCCCAGAAGATTCCTCTTTTGGGAGTTCCCTGTATCAGTGAAATCACAGGTCTAGACCCTATCCATATAAAATCAATAAGGAAATAACCACACCTAACAACCAGAGGACACAATGCATAATTTTTTTAAAAAAAGTACTAATAAGAAGCTATGAGCTCGCATTAACAAGTCTCCTCACCTCCACCCCCAAACATAATTGATCTGGATCCAGGAGTCCTAGGCAATATACAGCTTCAGTCCACCTCTGAAGAGACAAAAAAAAAGAAAAAAAAAGAAAAGAAAAAAATGGAATGACATTTAAGTGAAACTCAGTAGAGTAAGTAGGTGGTGCAGTGGTTAGAGTTCTGGGCGTGGTGTCAGGAAGATGAGTCTTCCTGAGTTCAAATGTGGCCTCAGACACTGCCTACCTGTGTGACCTTGGACAAGTCACTACCCTGATTGCCTCAGGTTCTTCATCTGTAAAATGAGCTGCAGAAGAAAATGGCAAATCATTCCAGTATCTTTGCCAAAAAAACAAAACAAAACAAATAGGGTCATGACTGAAATGACTGAACAGCAACAAAAGGGTAGTTGCTTCCCTGTCTTGGCTATGTGGTTACTTGCAGGAATCTCTGGTCTAAAACTTTGCTAACTTCAGTCTGGCCAGGTTCCTTATTCCATTCCATAGGAAAGTACCAGTGCCTGGTACAAATGAAATGCTTAAGAATGCTTTTTTTTTTTTTTTTTTGCAAGGCAGTTGGGGTTAAGTGACTTGCCCAGGGTCACACAGCTAGTAAATGTTAAGTGTCTGGTCTGAGACCAGATTTGAACTCAGGTCTTCTTGACTGCAAGGCTGGTGTTCTATCTACTATACCACCTAGCCGCCCCAAGAATTCTTTTGTTATCCATCCACTCATTCATTCATTCATTCATCTCCTTGTAGTTAACTCATCACATTACAAGGAGAATGCAATCAGTAGACAGCCCCAGTTAAAAAAAAAAATCTTGTCTTCATTACTTGGATCTTAACCACCACTCTCACAATCAATGAACTACATTTTTCTTTCTCACTCTAATTTTGACTTTGTTCCCCTAAATCAATGCTCCCAGGGCAGGGGGTGGGGTGGGTAGCTTAAGAGTCAGAGGTGCTACAAAAGATTTTTTCCCAGTTATACTCTATGGTTGTGCATCTTAGAACTCTACAATTTCTTTTGGGCATTAGCAAATTGTAGCAGTTATGATTTATGCTTATGAAGCAAAAGGAATATCATTGAGCAAATGGATGATTAGAAAAGGAAGTAAGCCATGTGGAAAGAACAAGGCATAAGAAAAGGGAAGGTAGGGTGCTTCATTAATACTCATGAAATGTAAAAAGATCTGGAGGAAAGGCTCTAGCAACCCAGACAGCTTCTCTTTGGAGGATCTATGGAAGAATACCTCCCATGGTGAGAAGATATAAATGGGCTATGTTCTGTACCCGGACAGCAAGTATCCACCATCACTGAGACCAAAGATTTTTTGAAATATAATTGTTACGAAAAGAGAAAAAAGACATATGATTATGTCATTTGAAAAGGAAGAGAAACAGAATTTCAAATTCTCCTTTTCTTATTTATAAAATAAGTAAGTTGCATGATATGATCTCTTTCTAGCTGTAATATTCAACATTTAGCAACTTTGAGGGGGAGGGGTCTAGATCTGCAATTTTATGGGTTGGGAGAACTCTGGTGTAGGAGATGTTTCCACTGATGGAAAATGGCAGCTCATAGTTGCCCAGGATACCATGAGATGAAGTGATTTGCCCACGGTTACTCTGCTTACTAGTATGGGTCACAGGCAGGACTTGACCCCAGATATTCTTGATTCCAAAGCCAGGCTTCTAGGTAGTACCTAAGGATGTCTCTCAGTAAATGCTTTCTAAAGGCCAAAGACATGTAAGGAACCTCACTGGCCTCTATAAGGAATACAAAGAAAACAATATAGGCAGGGTCCTCCTTCATGGAACTTGAGTTTATAGCTCTATCCCATTATGGTGATATATGACTATAAGCTCAACCACCAAGGATGCTGTGGCTAATGAATCTCTTGAGCTTTAGAGGTGCGAGCATAGGGTGTCTGCATTATATACAACATTAACTAACCCATTCCTCAACCCCAGTGGCAGACCTCTAGTTTGCCTGAAATGGGGCGAACCAGACCAGATCAGAAAAAAAGCAGATCAAATCTCCTGTGTCATCAGAATAGGACCGGGCCTGTGAGTGACCTCTGAATTTCCAATTTGGACAAGATGGAGTAAACTAGTTTTTTTTTTTTGTTTGTTTGTTTGTTTGTTTTTGGTCTACTGCTGTGGTGATGTAGGAAACAGGGGATATCAATAAAAACTTATTTTTCAGAAAGAATCTATGGTTCTATCACTGCTCATATTTTATTAAGGGGGATCTATTTTAACTAGCCCACACAGTAACAACTTAGCAGAGTAATTAGATGGGTAGTTAGAGACCTAGATTGATGTCAGTGACATCACCGAGTAAGTGGTACTGTGAATAGAGATATGGCCTTGCAGTCAAGAAGACCTAAATTCAAGACTTGCCCCTGATACATATTAGTTTGTGTGTCCATGGGCAAGTCATTTAAACTTTCAAAGTCCTAGACAATTCTTTGAAACTATAAAAATTAAAGATTAGTTGCTTATCTACTATCTGTGAAAGAAGTTTCTACACTTCAAATTCCCTACACTGATGAAATCACAAATCTGAATTTTTAAAAAATATACATACACCTACCAAGAAAATATATAGGAATCTATATAACTATATGTATTATATTTATATGATCATGATAAGAACTGTATTTTTATAGGCCATCCTGTTCCAATATCACTGACCTCAGGAGCCACTCACAGTCCACAAGTTATAAGTAACTGGATGGGAAAGGATTAATTTGGTATGGGCCCTGATCCTTTGGCCCCCATATCACCAGGCTGACTTCCATAACCCCTTCTAGTATGGTGTATCAATCTGTAAGGGAAGCAGAAAGACTGTGGAATGAGACATTTAGCAGGAAAGTAGGTCCCATACTACATTGATAACTATTGATTACTCATGCCTCCAGAAAAGCAGGTTTGACTTATAATAGAATTTTACAACTGGAAGGGATCTTGTCTGGGCTCCTCATTTTACAGAGAGAGAAACTGAAGTGCAAAGAGGTTAATCTGACTTGCTTAAGGTAACATGGCTAGTTAGTGGCAGAGCTAGAATTGGAGTTGCCTGCTTTCTAATCCAATGTTTTTTCCCTTACACCATGCTCACTGACAGGATGTGGTACGTACAGTCAATCTATCAATACAGACTGTCTACAAGTTAAGGGACTTGGAACTAACCAACCATTAGACATTTTGATCTACAGGTGGCAGAAGAGGCTCCCACAGATTGCCCATTGATATCTGGGGTTGACTGTGCACTGAAACTCAGAACCAACATAAAGTCAGTGTCAGCTTCCTGGTGCCTTAAGGCTGCTCTGGATTCCCTTGCAGTGCTTAGTAGAAGGGATGTTGATTTTATCTTGGTCCAGATCTGGGGTTTCAGCAAGTCTTTCTAAAGATTCCAGCAATTAAAAAAATGATTGGTAGCTTTTGTGCTTCATAGCACCTTTATTTCCAAAAACCTATGGCTCTGCCCTTTGAGGAGCATCCTTTGTAACAAAGAATAAAAAAAAGTAAAGTGTTCTGCAAGTCTATCAGTGATTATCTTAAAAAGGGAAATTCAAAGTCCTTTGAATAAGAGATAGAAACTAAAACTGTAATTTAATTTTATCTACACATATCTTAAAAGGTTTTCACTATTCTGCAACTTAGTACCCGACTTGGACAAGTCACTTAGGAACATAGAATCATAGATTTATCGCTGAAATGGGGCTCGGAGAACAGGTGAGAAAACAGGTGAGGCTCAGTGAGTCAGCTAATAAACACTTATTAAGTTCCCATGCTATATGCCAGGTACTGTGCTAAGCACTGGGGATACAAAGAAAGGTAAAAGACAGTTCCTGATTCCCAGGGAGCTCACCACATAATGGCAGAGATAATATGCAAACAACTACTTACAAACAAGTTATATACAGGATAAAATGGACATAATCAACAAAGGAAGGCACTAGAAATAAGGGGGTTTGGGGAAGGCTTTCTGAAGAAGGTGGGATTTTACCTGGGATTTGAAGGAAGTCAGTGAAGCCAGGAGGCAGAGACGAGGAGGAAAAGCTTTCCAAGCATGGGGACAGCAGATGAAAAAGCCAGGGAATAGGGGGTCTTATTCGAAGAACAGCAAGGAGGCCATGGTCACTGGATCTCAGCAAAGTGTTTGCCTAAGGTCATACAGATAGTAAATGAGACAGCCAGGATTCAAACGCGGTGTAATTTCCACTAAATCACACTTAGTTTCAGTTTCAGTTTTCTGATCAGAAAAATGAGGGTGGCAGATTAATTGATCCCTATGGTCCTTTCCAGATCTTTTTGCCATTCAGTCGTGTTAGTCATATCCAACTCTTCCTGACCATGTTTGGGGTTTTCTTAGCAAAGATACTAGAGTGGTTTGCTACTTCCATCTCTAACTCATTTTACAGATGAGGAAAATGAGGCAAATTGGGTTGAGTGACTTCCAGAGTCTCACAACTAGTAAGTCACTGAGGGGGCATTTGAACTCAGGTCTTTCTGACTTCAGGCCTGGTGCTCTATCCACTGTGCCAACTAGCTGACTCTTCCATCTCTATGTCTATGATATTATTTGTGTGTAATTATACAATGTGCTTTATAAATAAACAAATATTCTACACACGGATATAGCTTAGTTGGAAAAAATGCCGGAGGACTTCTGCTCTTTATTTTCTGTGAGATTTTTGCACATCACTTAACTTCAATGTACCTCATTTTCCTCATCTGTAGAATTATGGGATTAGACTTTGAATTTACTTCCAATCCTATAACATGTAACACTGAGACTAGATGATCTCTACTGTTTCTTTCAAGTAAGAAAATATCTGGTGGTCAAAGGATATGAACAGACAGTTCTCAGATGAAGAAATTAAAGACATCTATAGTCATATGGAAAAATGCTCTAAATCACTATTGATTAGAGAAATGCAAATCCAAACAACTCTGAGGTACCACATCACACCTATCAGAATGGCCAACATGACAAAACAGGAAAATGATAAATGTTGGAGAAGATGTGGGAAAATTGGAACACTAACGCATTGTTGGTGGAGTTGTGAAATGATCCAAACATTTTGGAGAGCAATTTGGAACTATGCCCAAAGGGCTATAAAAATGTGCATACCCTTTGACTCAGCAATAGCACTTCTAGGGCTATATCCCAAAGAGATCACACAAATGGGAAAAGGACCTATGTGTACAAAAATATTCATAGCAGCTCTTTTTGTGGTGGCAAAGAATTGGAAATTGAGAGGATGCCCATCAACTGGGGAATGGCTGAGCAAGTTGTAGTATATGAATGTGGTGGAATACTATTGTGCTATAAGAAATGATGAACAGGCTGACTTTAGAAAAACCTGGAAAGACTTGTATGGTCTGATGCTGAGTGAAGTGAGCAGAACCAAGAGAACATTGTACACAATAACAGCCACGTTGTGTGATGACTAATATTGATAAACTTAACCCTTCCTGGCAATACAAGGATCTAAGACATCTCCAGAGGCCTTGTGATGGAAAATGCTATCCACACCCAAAGAAAGAACTATGGGAGCCGAATTGTTATTTTTTTTCTCTTCTGTTGAGTTTTGTTTCCTCTTTCTGATGGTTCCTCCTATTGATTTTAATTTCTACTTACAACATCACTAATGTGAAAATATGTTTAATATGAATGTAAATGTATAGCCTATATCAGATTGTGTGCCGTCTTGGGGAGGGTGGTGGGGAGGAAGGGGGAGAAAAATTTTAAACTCAAAAACATGTGGAAATGATTATTGATAAATCAAAAAAAATTAATAAAAAAATTTTAAAAAAAGAAGAAAATATCTGTAAGAGTACGTAGCACACTGCCTGGCACATAGTAGGCACTATATATATATATATGTGTGTGTGTGTGTGTGTGTGTACTTACATATGTGTATATGTGTACATATGTGTACGCACATATTTATCTTAACCGAGGTCTCTCTCCATACACACACACACACACACACACACACCAATATTTATCTATCTATGTAATCCTAGCAATATGTTTGTGTGTGTGTAAGTGTGTATCTTACCCATTCCCTTCTGCCCCCTTTTAATTCTATAATCCATTCTTTTAATAATTTAATAATTCTTTTAATTCTATAATCCATGATCTACATGTGCAATACAATATACAGTGCTAGGTGACTCTATGCTGGTAATGGAGTCAGGAAGAACTAAGTTCACATTTGCCCTTAGATACTTACTAGCTATTGTGACCTTGGGCAAGTCACTTAACTTCTGTCTACCTCAGTTTCCTCATCTGTAAAGTGGGGATAATAATAGTACCTATCTTCCAGAGTTTGAAGATCTAATGAGATCATGTTTGTAAAGTGCTTTGCAAATCTTAAAACACTATATAAATGCCAGCTATTATATCATATCCACATATAATCATACTAAATCATATTCATAAACATGAATGGGAATAAATGATCATATCATTATTTAATTCATAGTTATGTATAAGAGGTAGTGTGGAGATATTGGGGAAAGCAGTGAGCTATGTGTTACAAGCCTAGGATTCTAGGCCAGACTTGAATACTACCTATGTGACCTTAAGCATCAGTGTCTCCCTCTACAATATGATTTAGGTTAGACTAGATAATTTCTCCATCTAAAAGTTCTGTGATTCTCTAAGTGCTAAATCATCATAATGAAGAATTTCATTCTAGTTCCTTAAAAGGACACCTAGCCACAAAATTGAGGTATTCTTCAAAAAAAAATTAACAAATAAATGTTACCCATGAATTTGTCTTGGGCAAATTGTAAACAGCTTTACAAAACAAAGATTAAATGAAATATCAGTTTAAACCATTAGAAAGATTTGCTTTTTAATTCTGCTTTTTAAAGCTGTCAAAGTAGGTGAGCAGCCTCATTATTTCAGGCATCACATTGTGTGACTCTGGAGGATTCCTCTGATAGCTCTTCCCCAAAATTAAGATATAGTAATGAACCTCAAGGAGAAAAATTGAAAACAATCTTTAAAAAAATCAGATGAGTTTCAGACCTAAAGTTTAAAAAAAATCCTTAATGACTTTTAGCTTTAGAGCCAAATGTATTTCTTACAATTGTCATTTAGTTTTCCAAAGTGCAAGACCAGTGTGTTCACCTGTTAATGTGATTAGGTAAATTTTTAGCTTTAATTTGGTTGCCACCTGCTGGCTGAAACACAAAAGCTTCTATTCTGTAGCAATTCTATTCTATTCTGCTCTTTGGCTCATGAAGAACAAAAGTAATCAGACTAACTTGACTTCTCAAGGGAGGGAAGTGCTAACACCATCATCTTATTTCCCACCCCTTTTCTCATATTAAGCAGGAAATGTTAAGAAGCCAATTGTCACAAAAATCTGAATCACAGCTAGACCTAGAATATGATCAAAAAATTATTCCCACCATATTCCATCTGGGGAGCTTGGGTAGAGCTCTAACAAGATAATGATTGTGAAGTAGAAAGAGAATGATATTATAAAAGAGGATTATTAAGTTTCCTTCTTTTTCATTTCCATCTCCACACCATACTGTTTTCATTCTGGCCATCAACCTCCATTTCTCCTCAACACCCCACCCCCAGTCTCCCATCCTTGGATTTTGTCTTTGGGTCTTCTGGCTCTGATAGGTAGATTTATCTTGTCTGGAACCAGGTCTCCTTATCACTTCCAAATCATCCATATACTATGCCATTTCTCCAGTCCCCCACTTTTCTTTTTTACAAATTTTTTATTTTTGTACTTCTGCCTCAGCATCTGATAGGACCTTGACCTCATAGATGCTGAGTTAATTTGCACCAAACCGAACTAACTTAATATACAACAAATTCCCACTAACACTGATAACTCACATTTACATAAAATTTTAAGTTTTTTAAAAAATTAATTACTTAATTTTTAGTTTTCAACATTCACTTTTATAACCACCCCCCCACTTTTCAGCTGTCCTGCATGTGTTATCTTCCTCTATTAAGATGTAAACTACTTAAGGGCCTTGTTTGTTCCATATTTCTATTCTAAATGCTTAGCACATAGTTCTCCTATCTATAATAATAGATAGCATTTACATGGCACTTTAAGGTTTTCAAAGTGATTTATATCTTAACTCATTTGAACCGTGGGAGGTAGATGTTATTATTCCCTTCTTTTACAAATGAAGAAACAGAGGCACACAGAGGGCAAGTGACTTACCCAAGGTCACATAACTAGTAAGTGTCTGAGGAAGAAGTCAAACTTAAGTCTTTCTGATTCCAAGTCTTGCCCTCTTTCCACTGTGTCACCTGTCCATCTATCTGCCCATCTGTCTGTCTGTCTGTCTGCCTCCCTCCATCAGTGGGGACGTAGTAAACTGTAGGTTCAGAATGAGATATATACATTGTCAGACATGGGGATTGTGCCAATTTGTTTTGATTTCAGGTGCTCCTTTGCTACAATGGAGAGCTCTCTTAGGGCAGAGAGCAGTTGTATATAAGTGACAACTAAGTTTTCAAATAGCATTTAAAAAGATTAAGATGACGAGCCATGGACATTGATGAAAATGTAACTATCTGGTTGTTTAGCAAGGGAAAAAAATCCAGGTATTTTGCTTTTTTCCAGACAGGAAGCACTTTCTTGAGAGACTTTGGGAACTAGTACTATATTAGGCAAGAATGTGGAGCAGGAAAAGTAGTAGATGACTCAATTTTAGACTCTCCAGGTGTACCCTACTTAACACTAATAGTTCAGATAAAACATGTTTTTGGATTAAAAAAATATTACAATGGGAAAGTTGGTTCATAACAACAGTGTTATGAAATGGGAAAACAGAATATATTGTTGAGCAGCCAAAACTCATACTGTAGAAATATAAAAAACATTCTTTTTAGTGACCAGAAATTAGAATAGGGCTGGGATGCTTTGATTATCCAATAGATCCAATGTGTGGAGATACCTTGGATTTTTTTTTTTTTTGGTGAGGCAATGGGGTTAAGTGACTTGCCCAGGCTCACACTGCTAGTAAGTGTCAAGTGTCTGAGGCTGGATTTGAACTCAGGTCATCCTGACTCCAAGGCCGGAGCTTTATCCACTGTGCCACCTAGCTGCCCCATACCTTGTCTCTTTTAGGGAGTCAAAGAAGTCCAACCTGACTCTAGACCCTT